AATGAATACCAACTATAATAGTTGTATAATAAATAATACTAAAATAACACTGCTCACAAGGGAATCATTATATTTGAAGGTCCTAAGCACTAAAACTTCTAAAATCGCAGAAACTACAAACAGCTAATTTTATCTGTGGCTCAACAAAAGTGCTCAGCTAATGCCAAATCTGATTCAGCCAAATCTTACAAACAGCAATATGTGATATGTTTCAGATCTAGTTTGTGTAAAGCACCCATCTACGGAATCACCTTTGCTCTTGCCCAAGCCATTCCTTACCTGGTCAATGCCGCAATCTTCCGCTTCGGAGCTTGGCTTATTGCACGCTGCTACACAGAATATGAAAATGTTTTCCTGTAAGTACGGTTTTTATAAAGACTTTATATATATGTGATATTTGAATATCAAGCACACTCTTTGCTACATTGATGTGTTGGTTCGTCTTCCACAGGGTGTTTTCTGTGATCGTCTTTGCTGCAATGAACATTGGTCAGTCCTCATCATTCGCCCCTGACTTTGCCAAAGCCAAAGCCGCAGCTGGGAGGATCTTACTGCTGCTAGAAAAGAAGCCAAACATCGATATCTATGACGAGTCTGGACACCGACCAGTAAGTATGAAATACTCAAACGGTTAGAAGTGGTCACCAAAAAGCACAACATATAATACATGCATATCTAATCTTTTTTTTCAGACAACGTTTTCAGGGAATATTGAATTCCGAGATGTGCATTTCTCCTATCCAACGCGTCAGAATGTGAAAGTCCTGCAGGGCCTGAATGTGTCTGTGTGTCAGGGCCAGACTCTGGCCCTGGTGGGCAGCAGTGGTTGTGGCAAGAGCACCACCATTCAGCTTCTGGAGCGTTTCTATGACCCTGCGGCAGGCCAAGTGGTGAGTTCATCAGGTGGTTTGGTGTGCCTAGAGGTCTAAGCCATTATTTTGGCTCAAGGGATCAATTTATGCCTCACATTTTGTCTGGGTTTTGCTTGTCGCGCAGTTTGTAGATGGGAATGACAGCAGAAGTATGAACTTGGCATGGCTGCGCACGCAGATGGGGCTGGTGTCTCAGGAGCCCATCCTGTTTGATTGCACCATTGCTGAGAACATTCAGTATGGAGACAACAGCCGCGACGTCAGCCAGGAGGAGATCGAGGAAGCTGCGAAGAAGGCCAACATTCATCATTTTATCCTTGGCCTTCCAGAGGTATGCATGATGTCTCTGTTAATGTGTGTGTTTGTGCATTTTGCTTTACAAGCAAGTTCACTACTTAAAACAATCTAAAACAAAAACAGATTTTGAAATATCATTACACTTATTACTATTTTAACCTCCTGAGACCCTGTGACCTCACATGAGGACATTATATTTTGGTGTATTTCTCTGAGACTATACATGCCACAGTTGTAAGTCTGGAAAAAAATCCTGAAAACTACAAATGTATTGGTGATTTAAAAAATCTATTGATTTTGCCTATGCATGTTCATTCATGTCTTTTTATTTTTTGAAAAAATTGAGTCCCGATGTCCTCTACCGAGGACATAGCATAACTTATGAACGAAATATAATTTTTACATTTTTTTTTTTACAATTTTTTTTTAATGCTCTAAATAATGTAAAGACATGAAAAAAATTATTTTTTCCTAAAAATATTTTCTTGGGTCTTAAGAGGTTAAAATGTTATTTATTTATGTGAAGGCATGCTCCAGTCTTCAGTGTCACATGATCCTTCAGAAATCATTCTAATATGCTGATTTACTGCTCAGGAAACATTTCTTAATATTGTCAATGTTGAAAACAGTTGTATTTTTGTTGAAGTTTTTTTTTTCAGGATTCTTTATTAAATAGAATGTTCAACAGGGTTGTTATAGTTCCCAAAAACCAGAAAACATTTTTTGTTATTTGAAATAAAATTGAAACAACTGAAATACGATAAAAATATATTTAAAAAAAAAAACTTTTAACTTATTTTATTTCAGCTAATTGCCGTAAAATGTCTCATTTTCATTTAGTTTATCTTTACGTACTAAAATAAGTACAACTGAAATAAAAATGAATGAAAACTATATAGACATATTATAAAAAAACGAATCAAAATGACAAAAACATTACTAAAACTTTAATTAAAATTAAAATTAAAACAAAATAAAAAAACTAATTCAAAATATTGCTTAAAATTATAATAGTGCCTTAATGATAGTAACATAACCAGTGTTCAAAACAAAAGCATTTATTTAAATACAATTTATGATATTAGTAATGTCTACACTTTTGATCAATTTAAATAAAATGTGATCAATTTGAATAAAAGTATTAATTTCTTTCAAATAAAACTTCCCTCCAGACTTCTGAACAGTATATTATATTATATTATATTATATTATATGCTCTAAACTGCCAATAAAAACTGTCTGATTTCATGATCTATATGCATATATAATATCCTTTCAGAAATACAACACTCGAGTTGGAGATAAAGGCGCTCAGCTGTCTGGAGGACAGAAGCAAAGGATAGCCATCGCTCGAGCTCTGGTCCGCAATCCCAAACTTCTGCTGCTGGACGAGGCCACGTCTGCACTCGACACAGAGAGTGAGAAGGTTTGTACAGGCTCTTACGCATATTTTCAAAACTATTTCAAAGTATTTCATTAGTAAAGTTCATTTTATATATTAAAACTTTCATTCTTGGTACTGAATGGACTGTATGCATTTCTGCCTTCAACCAGCAGGTGGCACTTTTTTGATAGTTTGAACTTGTGTGCCTGCCATCCTGCTGGTTTTAGGGAATACCTTTAAAATCATAGATTTACACTCTACATACTCCCTGAGTTTTAATGTCGCATTACTTGTGTGTTGCTTTAAATATCCATTTAGCGCTAGTTTAAAGTTTTGGCCACTTCTTTCTTTCCTGTTACACAGATAGTGCAGAAGGCCCTTGATGACGCTCAGCATGGCCGCACATGTATCGTCATTGCCCATCGCCTGTCCACTATTTATAATGCTGACATCATCGTGGTTGTTCAGAACGGCAAGGTGACTGAGCAGGGAACGCATGCTCAACTCATAGCCAAACAAGGGGCCTACTATGCTCTAGTGAATGCACAAGTGTCTGCTCACTAACTTAATCGCCCTTTGATTTATTCTAGTGGTTGTATATCTCAAATGAAGGGCAAAGTTAAATGATTAAATGGTGCAGTTAATCTTAAATTCAATTGAAATCTCCTCTGTCACTAAATATTCAGTTTGTTTTAGGACTAAATGACTTTGAATGTAAAAGCTTACAGTTGATAAGCTAAGAAGCATTTAAATATTCTGACTCTAGAAACAAACAAAAAAGTGGGATAATTGTTATTTTGTTACAATGAAAGATACTATTCTTATCTAAAAATGAAAATATATTTTATATCTATAGATTTATTTTTCTCAATTTTTATATACAAATATTGTATGTCATACAGTGCATTGTAAATATTATAGTCGTGGTATTTTATTGTACATAAAATAATGTACAATAAAAATCCCTTGATACTTTTCCCCACCAATACGTATTTGCTTTAACAGGTAATTGCAGCACTTTTACCAAATGTTTTGAAGATTGTATGCGTTTGTACAATGGCATTAACCCTTTGAATGTGAATATTGGTTTTGTTTATATGAGATCGGCGCATGGGGGCGCAATTTGCTCGTGATTTGAGCCTCCAACATGTTGGACCTTTTTTTCTGCACTGGCTTGAACTTTATTGTCTTTTATTGTCGAACAGTAACTGGTATTATTCTTGTATTATTCCTGTTTATATAATGCATTGTTTATTATTAAGAGGTTTTTTCGATTTTTATTAAATAAATTATCCATCATTCTTTGCTGTCGTTCCTGCATGTTTAAATTAAACTTTTTATTTAAAGTAAAGCTAACTCGTTTAAAGTAAATTTCAGTTCCCAAACTCTTCCCTGGACTAGCATATGTTTACCTTTTGTGCATGTCATTTTGTTTGTATGGTCACATGCTGTGGCGGTACATTTTTATTAATTCTTTTTTTTCCCGCATGTATCCAACTTTACACAGTTATGCGCTGATAATATTCTTCATATGTTTATTTTCGAAAGACACACTCGGAAAAACACTGAAATCCTTGAACATGAATGGTTTTCGTGGTTACTGAAGACGTAACAGTTTGTGTTATTTGGTTGGTGTGCTCTGAGATTTATAGATATTATTTTAAAGTGACTGCAAAAGTATAGCTATCTTTAATAAACTAACAAAAACTTACATTTATAGTCACAGCTTTTTAATTCAAGTTACAGTTCTTCTTTTATCTCATATAAAATGTTCTCAGAAGTTTAGATTTATTGTCTGGAATCTTAGCTACTTAGAGAATGTGTACAACTCTAAAAAATATATGTGTTATAATTGTAGCAAACAGTTAATTTACTAAAGCTGCTTTTCGTGGGTTTCACAACAACTGCAGTTTTAACAGTCGAACATTTTTATTTTTTACAATTGGTATTGAAATTTCGTAACAGGTCCTGCACTATAGAGCACATTTTATTTGATAGAAATTGGACATTGCAGTAATATCAACGGCAAACCGTTCACTGTGGCTGAATCCATGTTGACTTTATTGAGTGGCTTAAATTAGAAAGCCAATTTTCTCAAATAAACGATGTGAAAATAAACGCTCACCTTACATGTGCATGCTTACATAAATTAGAAAACGTGATTAAACACTGAATTCTGAATTTAAAATCTTACAAATCATTTCAAAGTGCGTCTATGACAGACCTCCAAAAAAATCAAGTCCAACTCGTGGATAAATATGAGGTTTTTCTTCACAAAAAACACTGCCGTACAGTTTTGGATATTTACTAGAATCAATATATGCAACTAAAAACACTATTCAAAATTTGCGTCTTGAACAAATACATACCCAAGTTTTACATCAGTGTGGAATAACCTTATGAATAACCTTCTAGTCTATTCTATTTTATTTTCAATATTTACATTCTTTTGCAGCAACAAGAAATAAGTACATTTCATACAAACTTAGAATTTGTAGTCTGTAGTTTCGACAAAGACCAATGTGCGATATATAGACTATCTTTTCGAATATTAAAGAAATGAATTTGTAAATGACAAAACGAAGTCTATTCAACACTACGGCAATTTATCCTTACGAAATTGGATTTTAGTAGTGTTCATGAATAAAGTGCCACAGTTTGGTTTTGAGAAAAACAAAAAGTTAGCAATGACAGGCCACTTCACTGATGGGTAAAATACATTTTTCGGTTTCATAACAACAGTAAGTAAAATAAGACTATTCGACAAATACCCATCAGAACGCACATATTAGATTATGTCCTTTTTAATATCCCCTTATTTTACCAAATTCATGTCACAGAATCTCTGCAGACCAAAACAGGCTTACTTCATTGTAAATTACATTTTAATCGTAAATTGAATCACTTTACAACATCCAAGTGAAATGGCCACACGGTTATTTCACCAGGTGACACTTTATAATAACTTTCACTTTTAACTTAACAAATAGTATTAAGCTTAACAGAAAAGTAGTTAATGTACACTCGAATAGCTCAAAAGAGATGAAACTTTGGTTTATATTGTTTCACATAGGATATTCAGAATTGAATGTGCATTAACTAGCGATCTGATAGTGTTTGTTAACAATTGGAATTATTGAAAGTTTTTATAAAGTGTTACCGAACGAACAGCACAACCTTTTTGTGAACCGTCCGGTAAGTTTCTAGTCCATTCGAGATTCGTGTACGTGCATTTTGAACGGGATTAATCGAGGGAGTTTGCACGGCCGTTCATGCCCGTCGTCGGGACAGACTCGGGAGGTTGCAACAGGTCAGGTGAGTGGCACGAGGGGCTACCGGGCACACTGTGCTCGCTGTCGGTGTCGCTCCCTCGTTTCCCTCCACTCGCCCCAGAGCCCGACCCTGATGAGCCTCCGGCACTGTGCGTTTTGACATGTTTACTGAGGTGGTCGCTCCGCATGAACCTCTTGTTACACACGGGACAAGCGAAGCGCTTCTCGCCGGTGTGCGTGCGTAAATGTCGCTGGAGCTCGTCGGAGCGCGTGAACCTCTTCCCACAGAACAACCAGTTACACACAAACGGCCTTTCTCCGGTGTGCCACCTCAAATGAGCCTTGAGGTGGGACGTTTTGCCGTACACTTTCCCACAGCCGGGAATGTGACAGCTGTGTAGCCCTTTTCTGCGGAGGCTCGTGCCAGCTGGACCCAGGCGTTCCACCTCTTGACAGTTCGGACAGTCGCACGTCGCTCTGCCCGAGTAGCGCCGCGCCGAGGACCGTGGAGATCCCGCCAACGAGGCCGTCGGACCCCCTGTCAACATGGAACATCCAGCTCCACCCAGGGGAGAGGGACTGGAGTCCGGGTACGAGGAGAGCACAGGTTTGAATCCGTCCATGAGATGCTGACCGGTGGTCAGCAGATGCGGGGACGCACTGGTGCTAAAGGCAGAGTGGCTTAAACTCGAGTAGTCTGAGTTGTATCCCCCCAAAGGAGAGTGTAAGGAAGTCTGCAGCCCACCGGAGTGAAGGGACGTCTGGAGCGCGGCTCCGTTCGGGTTCTGCACGTCAATCCAACCGGCTCCCACGTCCCACCACGCGGACGCGCCCGTGGTGCCCACATCCCCAGTGGGTATGCCAGGGTGCGAGGACTTGAACCACGACTCGTAGGGATGCGCCACGCTCATTCTCGGGTAAATGCTTTGCAAGCTGTCCACGGACGTGTGCACCTTGGAAATAAACATGGGCTGGTGGCTGGGCTCTTGGGAGTTGTTGGAAACCGACGCCTGGAAAACGGAGTAGTCGTTTGCGAAGTGGGAGTTGGATGAAGTACCAGAAGTTAAGGAAAAGGCACTGGATCCCGTGGACGTGTTCGTGCCAAAAGAGTCGCTTAAACCACCACCATTCCGAGCGAAAGAGGATAAACTGGATCCCAAACTACAGCTGCTGGCTGCCGCTCGTTTCCACGGGTGGAATCCTTTCCCGAACGAAGACGAGTTATCCGAAATAGAGGAAGGAGAAGGACTCGGACTCCCGATTTTGTTACACGTCGCAGCCAACATGGCTAAAGGAGTCGACCCCAATCTCGGCTCCTCCTGGAACAAAAGAAGTTAAAAGGTAAGTAAAGATGGTAGATTTGGGAACTGTGTGCGTTCGAAGAACAGTTTGAACTCGCTGCAACCCCAGCATACCTGAAGTAAGGCGAATCCTAACCACTGAAATACAACAACTCGCAAACACAAAACAAAAGCGAAACACAGCATAGAAATACCAAGATAAGTTATACATACAATGTCGTAGTTGAGAAATGGAAGTCCTGCTCGTTTCTGTCGCTTTAAAACATAATCAAGTGACTCTCTCCCCGGCTGACCCAAGAAATTTTAATCCCCACGGCAGGACAATGAAGGAAACTAATTAAACCAGCACGAAACTCCTTAGACTCACCCCTAGAAGTGAAGTTGCCATCACAAAAGTGCCCTCCTCAGAGGATCTTTTTATATTTATGAATCAGAGCACTGTTTTTTTTAGAGGTGTGCAATACAATGATGTGGTCCGCCCATTCCAGCACAATTGTAGCTCCTCTCACGGCTTTGAAGTGCCGCTGTGACACGGGCGACCAATCAGGAAGAGCCGTACCTTCACGCGGCCACATTCTAGCGTGAGGTCATCGATAGAGCACTTCAGACAAGATCTCCACCCCTTCCAACACCCCCCTCATAATAAAACTCAACTTAAATGAGTACGACTGGAAGTTTTAGGGAAAACTTTTCTATTCTTTTGTTTAAAGAGGTTAACGAGGTTACTGGACCCCCTGATCTGTTATGAATAATAATAATAATTATTATTATTATTATGTGTGCTACAAGTTATGATAACGGAAAAATAGCAATTGTATATCATATCACTCTTACAAGTCGTTGTCATTGTCTTACAGGTTGTTTTGTAGAATGTAGATTCCCATAAACTATTTATTTAAAGAAATTATTTTGTACAGGTCAAGAAGAGAAAACGAACAGGTTGCCTTTATTTATTATTTTTTTAAATAAAAGAACTGTTCTTTAAATGTTTGACCATTGTTTTGAAAATTAACACGTTTAATAAAACTTTCCTGTTGTAGACAAAAGTTTAAATTATTCAAATAAGCGTGCATTGTGGGTCGGTTGATTTAAAAAATGTATATGCATGCATAGCGAATTAACGAAATCAATATGTATAGGCTACTCTCATAACTTTAGGCTACCATCTCTTTCTTCCGCTGTTTCCTTAACACGCACATGACAAGTAACACACACAGCATTTTACGCAGGACTGGAGTATTTTCTGACATTTTGTTATTATTACGTATGTATTACGAATTGCGAGCATTTAACTCTGTGAACTTGTTGGTCAGTATAAAAAAATCATTTCACATAATGCATGTAAAAGTCTTTACAAGGTGGAATATGGCTTTTGTGTTCTGTTAACTCTCAACAGCAATACAGTGGCAGGCTATTGACATCAGGACGATGAATGCAGAAATGCTCTCAGGATAATGATGTAGCCTTGGCCACTCTATTTACATGCGTCGTGGACTGGAGGCATAAATTTCATTTGAATTTCAAATTTAATAAAGCAGGAGGTTTTTAATCATGAGAAGTTTTATTTGTTTGATATTAACATTCTTATTGACCGGCTCCGTTGACCAACTTGGTCATTATAGGACAGCAAAAAGTTAATTAAAACGACCGAAGATTATTCATCAAATCATCTGCCTCCGCCGTGTCGCCTCCTTTATTGCTGGAAGTGATAGATGGCTGATCAGATTAATTTCTCTGTTTCTTCGATTTGCACAACAGTTATGTTGTTTCCTTGGCAGTGCTTACCCTTTCTAATTCAAAGAACAAGATGCAGTTGAGCTCAAAATTGAAAGTGAGAAAAATGCGCAACAAAAAAATAAGCAAGGCACATCGGGGGGAAAAAATTATACTTTGCGCAAATTGTAAATGTCAGCCATGTATTCTGAAACAAGACCTGTACAGTTTGTAAAGTTAATTATACAGAATGAATAAAAAATCAAACGTACCTTTCTCTCAGATGATTTAAAGACTTTGGTACTAACAGACAAATAAATAAAGTGGTGAAACTTCACGGCAATACATTTCCATAACTCAGCGTGCACGCGCAACTCTAACCAAAATACAAATGTCACACACACACACACACACACACACACAAATGTCCCATACACTGCAGCATTGTTTGATTGCAACAGATGCATGATGCACATACCGTGTCTGTATCCTCGCTTTATTGATTGACCCCGCGCGCATCTCCTCTCGCACAGCAGAAGGCAGTGGCGCTCGCGCGCAGTGAACGCACAGACCCTGGAAGATAAATGTTACTTTGGGAATTGAGTTTAATTACGAATAACGGAGGAGCCGCTCGGCCACCGGTGGTGTAATCAAAACATGTGTTCATGTCCTCTGACAAGACAGCGCGAGAGATGCGCAAGAGAGGATTAGGTGCAAGCGCAGCAACAGCGTGTGATTAAAAAAAAAAAAAACAATACCACAGAAAACGCATTTCACAATTTTATAACTTTTAAATAAATTATTTTAAAAATGATAAAAGGTTATAACGTATACTTGGCCAAAAAAATGTGCAAATAAAATTGAATTGAACATTTGTGATTAGAGGTTTAATACTGTCAATGCACAAATGAAATAAACGAACGAACAAAATAAAACAAATATTTCAAAAATAAAAAAGGAGTCAAAAACAACAACAAAACGCATGTTTCGCGCATGTGAGATCATGTTGCTTTCTTTCCCAAGATGCCATACAGGCCACCGAGGTTCTTTTTGGCCTGTATTGAACAGATGTCCCCATCTCTGCCTTTCTTCTCCCATGCATGGGCTACATTACCGTCATGAAATCAAGCTGAAGAAACCTGTCCCATTCGTGGCCCTAATCATCGCGTTATTCTGGCCCAGTGCGCACGAACAAAATGGGTTTAATATTGCGTGCTCTCAATAATTTTGCGAAAAGAAAAGAGGGGAAGTCAGCGGCTGTCCCGGAGATGGTGGGAGCACTTTCCTCTTTAATCTTATGATTATCCAGGAAAACTGATAATCTAGTGGTCTACCTGTCCGAGTCCTGCGAAACATCAGTAGACTAATTGCCGGAATTCGAAACAAGTAATAAAGATGTAGGACTACGTTGAAAGCATCGAGTTTAAAAAAAAGGAATAAATAAAATAAGAAGTAAATAAATAAATAATTACTTTGATGGAAGACAAATTTACGTTTAAATTGATTTATTTCGAAATTCAGAATCTATTGTTAAATAAGCCTAAAGAAGTACTCAGGAATCAGTGTGTGTTACTGGATTACAGGTTCATATCTAATTAATGTTCTATAATGTACTATTTAATTATCATTTTATATACAGTACACGTGACCCTGGACCACATAACCAGTCATAAGGATATATTTTTTAATTTGATTAAAATTTTTTGAAGCTTTCCATTGATGTATGGTTTGTTAATATAGGACAGTATTTGGCAGAGATACAACTATTTGAAAATCTGGAATCTGAGGGTGCAAAAAAAAAAATCCAATTATTGAGAAAATCGACTTAGAAGTTGTCCAAATGAAGTCCCTAGCAATGCATATTACTAATCAAAAATAAATTTTGATATATATATTTACGATAGGAAATTTACTCAATATCTATATAATACTATATAATGATTTTTGGCATAAAAGAAAAATCGATAATTTTGACCCATACAATGTATTGTTGACTATTGCTACAAATATACCCGTACTTATAACTGGTTTTGGTCCAGGGTCACATATAACAAATAATTGTATGTGTTATGAATTCTCTCTCTTTCTCTCGCTCTCTCTCTATTACTTGTTATACAAATTATTTCAAGCGCTATGAAATGTTACTACAGTTCAATGTAACGCTTTCGTAAAATATCATATAAATGTGGAGCCATGGCCGGACTCTTTCTTTTCAGCAGGAGGTGGGACAGAGAGACCAGATGTCCCTGTGTGTGCAGGGCTGCCAAGTGAGGCTAGGGCAGTGGAGCCCGAGACACAAGAGCCCAAATGGTGTGACAAAGGAGGAGCAGGAAGCCTGGCTCTGCCTGGATGAACCTCAGAGAGCGCCAGTCCACATCCACATCCCAGCCCCAACCCCTCGGCCCTCGGCCCACGTCCCACAACCCCATTGAACTACTAGAGCAGGGCCGTGTACCATGTGCTGACTTTTTGCTGGATCACACAACCATAGACATGATCACAGGAGTGTAAACACTGACATATGATCACTACTAGAGGACAAGTGTGTGGAGTTTAAGCAGAAAGCTCACACACATGCACAGGTTAGTCAAGCAAAAAACACATTTATAATATTTTTAGGGCTCTTGTATATTCAAAACACCCTGTTGGCAATTAATACCAGCTGCTTTGGGTAATTAATGAATTCACACTAACCAGATAAGGTGGTGTTTGTCATATGACATACACCAGCGTATGCTGCTTAGGTGTGTCCCGTGTCCAATAACTCATTCATCTTGATTTAATCAATGTTGTGTGGACACTAGATGGGGGAGGAGGCATCCAGCGGCTAATCACCAAAGCTAAACACCTGGAAATGTGGCATCATGGGCTATGTGGTCATTATCATTATCATAAGCCCTCTAATTAACCAACAAATCACATGCTAATGTATCACAGTATACAGGAGCCAATGTACTTAACTGAATGGCAGATGCAAATTTTCTTAAGTTTTAAATATGACAACATGGTCAGCTCTTGCTATGACCCGAGGGACTAATTTTGGGGTTAAAGGGGCGTTTTTAATGTTTCAAAAATTAATCCTTTGGATTAAAATGTCTGATGAATGTCTGAAATGATTTGAACTGGAAGTTTCATAAGGAGACAAGCAAAATTACATATATTTGTAGGACCTACATTATAATCCCACAGACAATATAACTACACAGATGTCAAAAAGAAAAGTGCAAAATAAATAAATATTTTATAATAAATAATTAAAAAATAAACAAATAAGACAGACAGACAGACAGATAGATAGATAGATAGATAGATAGATAGATAGATAGATA